TTCCCATTTGTTTAGGGGGAGGGTAGTTATCAAATTTTAAAATGATATTTTAATTTATGCTGTTAACATTGGGGGAATATGGCTTTAAAGGGGAAAAAACAGGCCTTCCATCAAGCTCCTTTCCAATTAGAGGATTTTCATTCTGTTTAGTGGGCAGGCTCATTTTTCTTTTAAACGGGAGCCTCGGGATTGTTAAATTAAGAGGGGATTGGAAGGGGGTCTTTCAGGTGTTTATACCCAGTAAGTATTGGCTTTTTTCTTATCAAACTTGAAATGTGGAGAAAATTGGTTTAACTTTAATTGGGATGAATTTATTTTGGCGAAAGAATTGGGCTAATAACCAAGTTGGGGAATTTACCCGATTAATATTGGGTTTATTATTGTAATATTTATTAAAGAAGGTTAACATATGACAAGGCCACATTTCATTTGTTGGGCCGGTTTTCATTAGTTATTACGTTTTGAATTTGGATGAAGAAAGGGGGGGCCATTATAAATGGTCCACGGGGCGCATTTACCCCCGGGGGGGGGCCGTGGGTTGGACAACCCTGTTTGTTAGTTTAAGTAAACAGTTAAAGAATTCCCCAAGAGTTTTGTGGTCCAAAATTACTGGGGCTTAAAAACATGGATTTAAAATTTCCCATGGGGTTCCAGTTTGGATGAGGGTTCTTAGGGGTATAAGGTGGTTTTCCAGAATTCAAAGGCCCCTGTCTTTTATTGGGGTTCGTACATGTAGAAGAACAAAAGCCCCAGGGCAAAATCTCCCTTTTTGGTATGTTTTTCCACCAATTAGAATTTAAGGTTTCACCCAAATCTAAAACCGGTGGTTTTATAAAGGAAATCTTAGACCTCCTCTGGGATAATCCAGCCGGATTTGGGAATGAGTCTAGGTCTAGTGGGTGGATTTTCAGGGACCCTTGGTCTAATGTGGGTTTACAATGAAAAGGGCACTGGGATCTCCTGTTGTAATTTTTCGGGGGGGCAAATTAGAAATAAAGGGTTCCACAATTTGGGGGAAAAACTGGTGGTTATTTAAGGAAATATCTTAGCCTCTTTCTGGGGATAATCCAGGTTTTCCCAGATTTTTTGGTTTTTGAGTCTTGGTATACTGGTTTTAGGAATTTCAGGAACCTGTTCTACTGGGTGGTCTACATGTGGAAAAAGCACTGAAATTCCCCCCTTTTTGGGATTTTCCACAAATTAGAATTAAAGGGTTTATCACAAAAAATCTCAAACTGTTGTTATCAAATTACATCTTTGACCTGGGATAAAAATCCCAGGTCCAAATAATCGGCTATGGCAAGCGATTTAAGGAGGTTCAAAAACGGAGGGTTCGGCTCAGAAGCTGGTAATAAAATGTCACTTACTTCCCCCTTAAACGGGCCGATCAGGATGCTCTGAATTCGGGGAAAGGCCAAACTTTCAACGTGTCAAGTCCATTTTTGAGATGATGTTAACTCATCAAATTGGGGGAAAATGTCTCCTCATGGGTTTCCTTTACCCTTTCCAGTGGGGTTGTTTAAATAATAATTTCCTAACAAGTATATTTTCTTTTCTTGGAATTAAAATCTTTTGATTGCTGCAAGGGGCATGCTTGCCGACATTTGGCTTTACAATCGTGTTTTCATCTGATCTAGGGTGCAAAGAAGGGCCGGAAAAACATCCACCCCGGCCTCTCAACTGGCTCAAAAGCTGAGGGCGGGATAACCCTTCAGTTTCCCTTTCCTCGTACGGGACAGCCTCGATTTCTGGATTGGGGCTTGAAGGACGGTGTGTTTGATTCAAAAAAACAATTATTAAAAAATTGGGCAACGGGAAAAAGGACCAATGGGGAAACCCCCACTTTGAAAAAAAACCACTGGCCACTGATTAGGGGGGGCACCGGACAAAAAACGGCCTGGAAAGCACCACACCGACAACTAACCAAAGAGTAAAAATATTATTTTATCAAAACAATGCAGTTGGGTAATTTACAGTTCATTGTAGGAGTAAGTTAAATTCAATATGTTATTTAAAATTTGCTTTTTACCGTGGGGGATATGGGGCTTTAAGGAAAAAAACCAGGGCCTTCCACCCAGGCCTTCTCAATAGGGTTTGCATGTTTAGTTAGCAGCTCCATTTCCCTCTTCAAAAAACCAGGAAAAGGGCCTTTTTCAGATTGGGGCTTAAAATAAGGAGGGGATATGAAGGGGTCTATTTTTCCAAGGGTTGTTTATTTACAAGGGGTAAGTTATTTGGGGGGTTTTTCATTATTCCCAAACTATGTAGGGAAAATTGTTTTAAAACTTTATTGGGGAACTGAATATTGAATTGGGCTTTATTAACCACCATTGGAATCTACCGAGTAATATATGGGTTTATAATTAATTATTTTACATTTAGGGAAGTAACAATATATGGGAAACAAGCACACAGGTTTTCATTTGTGCATTATTTTTTTCTTTTACTTTTTGGAATTTGATTTGAGGAAGGCCAATTATACAATGGCGCCAACGGGGGGGCTGGCAATTTTATTGGCCCCGGCCGTTTAGTTTTTTGGTGACCCAACCCCGTTGGTAGTAAGTAACAAGGGTAAAAGATCCAGGGAGTGTGGTCCAAATAACTGGCCCATAAAAAGGTTACTAAGTCCAAGGTAAAAATATAGCATTCTAATTTATTTAAGGTAACCCAAAAGTTTGGGAAAGGTTTTTACTCGTAGATGCCCAAACTGGGCCCATTTTCAGAGAAATATTTTATGGGTTGTTGTTTATTTAAGGGTGTGTTTTTCAAAAAGCAGGTAAAGGTGCAGGTAGGTAATGAACCTTTGGGGCTGCTGCAGGGGTAAGCTTGTGGAGTTTACTTCCAGTTGTTGGTGTGAGAAGTCTTCTTCTTTAAGTGGCTTTGATTTTATTCCATCGGCATCATCCATTTCTCAAAACAGGGGCTGGGGCTGAATCTTAATGGACAAAACATAAAATTAATTCATGGGAACCATTTTATAGGAAAATGTAAACCTTTATTGGTTCATAAAAACTTCCAAAATGGGGGAAAAGTTAAAACTGGGGCACCAGTGTTTTTACCTTTTTGGTTCCCCGCACCTTTACAAACTTGTCTCAGGGGGGTCATCTGAAACAAGGGTTTCACTTTTAAACCCAATAAAAAAGAAACCCATGGAGCTTAAAAAACACCATCCAAAAGGGAAGATGGTTTAAGGGATCTTTTGGGGACAGAAGCATTCCTTGGCAGGGGGCGTAACCCAGGTAATTTAACAACCTTAAAAAAAAAGGGGGTTTTTGTGACTGGGGGGCTAGGGGGCTTTTCCCCCTTGAGGGGAAACGGGCAGATCAGGTCCAGTTCGCCTCGTGTTAGTACTTTTTCCCAGGATGCTTTTGCACAGGTTTCACGGAGCCCAAAACAACCCCTTTTATGCGGATTTTTCAGGAAAAAGCCTTTCGGTCTGCTTGGGGACCAAGGGGATTTTTCAATGACCCTCCTTCTGACAGGCGGCCGTCGGCCGAGCCACGAAACACAGGGGTTCCTCGTTTGATGGTTACCTTTCAAATCTTCCTCTTGGATATGGTGTTGTCGCCGCGTTGGTGCCCAAAGTTTCTTCCATCAAAGATTTTGAGGGGGCCATCAAATCCATCCAATGGGGGGGGCCAAACCTGTTGCATAAATCCATTGGAAAAAGAAAGGAAATGGGTTTTTCGGTTTACCAATACGATTGGAAATTTCTGTATTGTGTGTGGGTGTCAATCTACGTGAGTGGGATGATGTGGCCCAACAAACCAATGTTCCCGTACACCTTTTGCTTCCCTGGCAAAACAACGGGCCCCAGAACCCCTGCCCCAGACCCCTTCCATCTTTGTGAACGCTTTCCCAGCCTCCTATCCCCCTCTCGGCTTCCTGGTGCAGGTGAAAACATATTACGGGGAAAATTATATAGAAAGGATGAATGTGATGTGGTGTGAAAAGCCATGGAACGTGTGGGCAAAAACCATTAAATAAAAAAAAGGTTTGATTATTTTCCTTTTTCCAACCTCACCCCCCTTAAAACAAGGGTGGGGATGTCAACAACCATGTTGGTTTCCTTTGGTCCATCGTGGGGGGGTGGGGGCGTGGGCCTGTACCCTATTCGATGGGGCTTTATGAAATATTTGAAATGGTAAAATTTCGGTTACGTAGTACTCTGTATGAGGATTACTAGTGGGCTTGCATCGAGCGTTGTTTTGGCTGCAGGTGGGTGGGGCATTTGACCCTCCCTGCTCGTCTTAAATTTAAGGATGTATTTCCCAGGTGGAGGAGGGCTGCCCTTTAGCCGTGCTCACTCTCCAGGGTATAAATTTCTCTCCCATCTGGGGAAGGCTCTGGCCCCGGGGGAAGCATCCATTCCTTGTGCTGTCTGTTAAAAGTTTGTCACGATTGGCTGGGGCCTCGGATGGTTCTTGGTATGGCCTTGGAGGGTGGTGTTACTCGTTATAAGGGGCTGTATGGTTATGGTCTTTCAAAGTGGGACCTAAGGGTGGATAAAAAAAAAAAGATGGGAAATTATAAATAGTAGTGGGCCTGGTGTATGGTGTGGTGTTGTGTCATGGTGATGGTTGGATGGAATTAAACCAAGGTCGTGTGTGCTATGATCATACATTGATGAATGTGATAGATGAATTCGATAAAAAAGAGTAAAGCTGTGTGGTTATAACCTGGGGATTATCCTTTTTTCAGGGTGGGTGGATGACGTAAGGGATAACATCAATAGTCCTATTGATCGGGTTTATTTACTTTTCAAGTTTGAGAAAACACCTGATCATAACCTTCTATATCTGAAGACACTTCTCCGCTTGTGCGCAAAAGGGAAAGCTGTAAGGTCTCGCACGATGCTTGGAGGTACGATGGGCTTCAAACCGGAACCGTACAATAGGCTGCTTATTCCACAGCTGGAAAACTGACCACATGAGGGCACACAGCCTGCTCCACTATAGGAAATGTAACCCATCCTTCGGTTTGATGACATTCACCACACTCACGCTGGCACACAGGACAACATTTCCGAAAGGCTCCCATGGATGGGCAGGGTTCCTTTCATACACTATGTAATGGTCTTGATGGTTATAGGGACAATGTGTTCTTTACCACTGTAAAAAAAAAGAAGAGATGTTATTCCCCATCACACAGCTTGGGCCCGTATAGAGCAAATGCACCTTACTTCCTCGTGTGTGTGGGTGGTGTGTGCGTGGTGTGTGTGTGTGTGTGTGTGTGTGTGTGTGTGTGTGTGGTTGTGTGTGTGTGTTGTGTGTATGGTGTGTGTGTGTGTGTGTGTTTGTGAGTGTGAGTGTGAGAGAGATAAGGTTGAAAAATGAGACACATCCTGTAGCAGAACTATACCACAGAAGAAGTTTCCAGGATCCAACCACATGTTTCTATATCCGATTGGCTGTGAGCAGTAACTGTTATATACGCCCCAACTGTGAAAGATGGAGTCACAAAACCTTATATTTTAAATAGTGTCAAAAGATGAAAGTTGATTTTAAAGATGTTGCATGATCAAAGTAAAGGCAGAGTTTGAAGATGGGTGTGGTGTGAGCAAAGGTGCCAGAAGTAGTGTGGGTGGTGTGGCCTAATATCAAGATTGCCTCTATTTTTCTTTACCTTATCTAAATGCTTTTGTTGTTTTCTGTGAAAGCAAACAAACACAAACGCCTCTCCTTCTTTTTACTGACGAAGTATACTGAGAGCGGCTGAGTATAGACGGATCTACGATGCTTCGTGTGTGTGTCTTTATCTAGTCTAAAAGTATTTAAATAAATGATACTTCATATTCATTAAGGTAATACATTTCCTTCTTCACTGGTTTGTGGTGTATTTAAAACTGCATGGCCCTTTCTCATTTCACTAATTTCCCCTCCTCGACTCCTCGGTCCTCCGGTAGTGACCCGGAAATGGATTTCAGCGCGTCATGTTGAAGGACATCTCATTTCTCTAAATGCACTTTAAGGACCGAGGATCGAGCATCGAGGAGGCTCTCTGGAGGAGCTATGATCGAGGATACACTGATGCGCCAGTCAGCGGATCCTCCGCGGATGTATTAACGGCAACAGAGATGTTTAAAAAAGTTGTGACGCACGGCCGGACTTATCTCAGCCAATGACAGCTCTGCATGCATCCCCTGGATATTATTTCATTAACTGCTTTCATTGCGACGCAATGTTTACAGTGAGAACAGCTGTGAGGTCTGTGCAGAAAGCAGAGCAGTGTGTATAATATCACTCAGTATAACAGGCCTACATGACTCTCTTTATTTGTATGCTGTAGTTTAGTAGATATCTCCAAAGAGTCGATATTTGTCTAAAACCATTTAGTGCTTCACATAATAAAATACAGAACGGCTGTATCCTGATCCCTTAGAGAAATGAGAAAGGGCACATGTCATCACACAACGAGGTTTTTATGTTAGTTTCTCTACCCTCTGCGACAGCATTGCCATGGACTACACGCAGAATTAACTGCTAGTGTAAAGCTGAATCATGCAGCAGTGCAGCCTGTGCATGCCACCAACACATTCCTACAAATACCTATGATCAATACCACAAACTATCTAAAGCTTTTAAAAGTACTAAACATTACATTCTTCAAATATGGCTGTAATTACTGAACAAAGAAAGACATTTTTTTTAGCGTTTGTCAAAGACATCGCTAAAGATAGAAATGAATTCACACACATGATATTTAAACTCACAATATGTCTGTTTTTTCTGTATCATTTGTGACAGACTCCGTTGGGTCATAGGTATCATCCAGCCCGTCTGAAGCCACCACGGAGAAGCTGCCATCCTCCTCTTCTTCTTCCTCTTCTTCTTCCTCAGGGTCCACACGACGTCTCTTTGATGGTTTCTCTGTAGGGGTGGATATAAAAGAGGGCGCTGCCTCGAGAACATTTGATGTCCATACATCAAAGTTGCTGGAATCTATAGTCTGGACAGCTGTAAGATAATTGCATTTTACAATTAATAAATAATAATAAAACAATCATTGTAATTGCAAGCACAACAACTCAAGGCAGCAACACCAAACTTAACAAAAACGTGCATATAAGACAGCTACTAACCAGTACTTCGATATGGATTACTAAAGGTACGCAAAGACAACTGTGTGCGAACTGTACGTTTGTGTAGAATGTCGGTCTGACAAGCAGCATCCCTCCTTCTAGGTAACTTTTGAAATTGGCTGACCTGTTACAAGGAAACAACAACATCATCTCAATTTTGTATTCATGATTAGTAACTGCAATGTGAAAATCACTTATATTCTGACGTCCCAAAATGTTTCACAAGATAGATGCAAAAACTGATATTTACCTGAAAATCTGTGTTGTTGGTTATTACATAGGAGAATTATAACGTTGTCACTGAATCATAACTATTGTATTGGATCGCCTGTACAGTGTTATGTCTGAGCAGAGGTGGAAGTACTCAAATGATCTACAACTTATTATCTATGTAAAGGTAGCAATACTACAACGTATCCGGCTAATTTAATCATATTCTCTCCAGTACAGAGTAGTGTTAGCTCTGAGTGTAAGGGATACTTGCTAATGTAAATAAACACCATGCTACTGCCAAAACAGGTGGCGCATTGTTTCTGATACAGCACATAACTTGTCTCTTCAGTGTTCACAACAAAATCAGTGCCATAATATATCAAAACTAAACTCAAAGTCCCTCCCATATAACATAATTATGTGTTAGCGATGCATGCTAACGTAAACAAAAGCCACACTGTGCCAAGTCATATCCAAATATGCATATATCCAGCGTTGATTCTGAAATAGAGTATCTCACGAACATCGTATCTTTCTCGCGTGCAACATCAACAGTATTATTACATCCAGTAACTTTACTGAAGCTGCCCTCCATGTATATTTTGAAGGCAACTTACATCTGCTGGCTCGGAAGCTTCTAACACATGCCAAACAACATTACGTTTCACAAAATCAACATGAACACAACGTTATACATATCCAGCACACTATTGTCTTAAAGTCCCATATTTTGGCCATCCTTCCTAACCCTAACACAACGCTAGCAACTTAGTTAACCCAGTTAGCACTGTGTCAATGGCTTAGCAGCCCGAAAAACGTTTAAACATTTAAACAGTCGTGGTAGATAGTTTGTTTCTTTTAAACATCACAAATACACAAATAACAATGCATACTTACAGGTTGTGTAACCAAACCACCCGCTGGTCCAGACAAAGTAGGAACAGCATCGCCCTTCAGTACTAGACGCATTGCATATCTGGCTTCAACCTGTGCAAGGTTTGTGAAGCTGTCGTCCGAGAAATGCCGGGCACACAGTACAGTATTTCGAACCGTTGAAGGAACATTGTTAAAAATAAATTTCAACCACTGACTTCTTCGTGGTTCTGCCTTCGGTAAGGCAAACAATCGACATTTCCCCTCACATTTCAGGACACAGCCTTTTCTAGTTGGCATGACTGGGGTTGCAGTTGAATGGTCCTATCTACTATTCCTTGATCTCTGTGTGAAACGTCACGGGGTTAAGGAACAGTGGATATGAGAATTGAAAAGGATTTAGGAAAAGAGACTGCAGTGCTTTGAGAATCCGACTGCACTTACACTATCGGACGCATTAATGATGCGCCAGCAGCGGACGTCATAAATGTGCGTCTGCTGTGGGGAAACTACAGTTTTTTATACCTCGGGATACATAATAAGAACTAGTTCAAATACCAATTTCTGATTGTTACGACTTACAATTGCATTTGAACTAGTAAAAATACCCATTTCTGATATCAAGAATTCATCCACAGTAAGTCAAAATGCCAATTGTTAATATCAGGAAACACAATTTGAACTAACTCAAAATCCTTTTTTGATATCAGGAATTCAATGGTTAGGTATAAATAAAAAAATAATTATAACAATTTTAACAGAAATAAACATTATTAATAAGAATTGAATTTTTGATATCAAGAATTTGCGTTCTTACTAGTAAGAATTTATTTTTTGATATCCTCCAGAAAGGAATAAAAGCTAAATCGGCTTGCCATTAAATCGGCTTGCCATATCTAAACGCATTGAAAATGTTGCACCGTGCTCTATGGTGTTGTTTTAGGCTTCTTGAGCGTGGACAACAGAGAAACATATATTCTTCATGACCAAGAAAGTTTGGAATTGAAATAAAAAAGTTAAGTGAAACTTATGTTTTTCACCCTCACCCTCACCCTCCGGTCCAAACATATTAATCCACATGAATCATCCTCCACTGATGGTATATGCAGGGCTTTGTCAGGATTTTTGCAGTCAACTACCACACAGCGTTTGGTGATAAAATAGAGTTTATCAGGACATGCTGGACAGTGTCCAGTATTCCACAGTGTACACATTTGGTGTAAAAAAACTGCTTGCCAGTCGATAATGACCCAGCTATACTCTTGGTCATTTGATGTCATCCTTTAGTTTAAACTCAGCCAGTGCCGCCTGATTTAATTGACGGTTGAATGTTGTATAATTGACCTCCTATGCTGTCTGCATCCCATTGTTGTTGCCACTGGAAATCAATTATTTCCTTCATGATGCTACAACATTCCAAAAAAACACATGGCATTGGCAACCCTGGCTCTCGCTTGATTATTTAAAGTGTATATTTTAGCAAACAGTGAAGCAAAAACGTGAACTGCTCAGTATTTAATCATTCATTCACAGTTGCAGTTCAACATGAATAGAAATAATACATTTTCTAAAATCTTCAAATAAAGACAAAAAATGCAGGGTCAGGGGAAATCACCATGTGTGCATTTTCTACTATCTACGGAACAAACACCCTCTGTAAAAAATGACAAATAAAAACAGTGATTTATATTGTGAGACATTATCTTTAGAGCCAGGTTGGAGAATTCTTTTTTTCCTTCAATGAGAAAACCATTTGGAAACAAGTCTGTATTTAAAGGAAATAAAGAAGAATGTCCACTGTTGGGTTTTTTCCTCGTAGAAAGCATTTTAAGAGGGGGTCGCGAATGGTTTGATGAGACCAAGATCCATAGCTTTGACCAGGCATGTGCGCGCCGCATCGATGGCCTGCTGCCTCTTGGGATTGTTCTCTGCCTTGCCAATCACTGACAAGATTTCCAGCAGCTCACACTCGATCAGCTTCTTGGCCAGCTCACTGTTGTCTGAGTCGAGCATGTTGTAGACAACAACAAGGGCACGATGCTGTACATTGGGGTTGGTGTGGATACACAACCTCTGCAGGATCTCAAGCCACTGCGTGGTCTGTCAGGAGAGAGCAATCAGTTACACTTTTAAATTATGCGAAATCTTTGTCAAAAATGTTGTTTATTTTTTATTCTTGCCAGTTTGGATATGATATATTTGGTTTAATTCTTAGCAATGGATTTATGTGTAAGATGGTGTGGTATGACTCAGCAAATGTTAATTTCCGTTGAGGGGATTTCCTCTGATTGAAACTTCAGAGACACCATCAGGGCGTATACAGTACTCTGCATTCTGAGAAGTTTTGTAACGTGTGAGAAATATCCCAGAGATTATGTCATCAGCTTTGTCTTAGCTTGGTTACGATGATGACACAACATGTGAAATTGAAGTTATACTTTTCTTTATCCTACAAGTTAAAGCACTACTGAATGCTATCATACATACCACAAGGGTTATTTTGTTGCAGGTCTTCTTCTGAGCAGCAGTGAGCATGGCAAGAGCTCCAGCTGCAGCGATCTGAAGATTCTCGTCATCCTCGCCACAAAGCAGTACCAGCAGTTTCAGTCTATCATTGCCATCGGACACAAAACGCTCTTGGACCTAAGAAACAAAAGTTTGACACCTGTTGGAAACTGGTTTCCTACGTTGATGCAGCTATTTTATAATAAAAGGTTTTTAGCTATTTTTTCCATCCTCACCTCTTTACATGAAATTAGGTTGCACATGCATTCAGTAGCAGCCTGTCTGATCTGGTCATGATCTTCAAACATGTAGTTTTCAATGTCACTGATAGCTTTCTCTTTTAAAATCTTCACTCTATAAAACAGATGAAGTCAAGGTTAAAGGTCAAAATAACACAAATTGTTCAAGCTGTAGGAAATGCACTTGTAGGAAATGAGCTAGTGACATCACAGTGAACATAATAACATGTTACCTTAGTTTTTCACTGAAACCAGCCAAGTTGGTGAGGCTTCTCAGAGCTTCATAGTTCTGCATCCCGTCTTTGTCTGTGTGAAGGAGGCCGACTAAAGGCCGCACCACCTCATACACCTGACAAACAAGAAAGTTGTAGGATTGATTTTTTTTAAAGTAATTTGTTGAACTACATTTAAAGGTCCCATGTCATGCTTTTCCGGTTATTACCCATCCCCTTGTGTGTTATGAAGGTTGTTATGCATGTAAACCGTCTGCAGAGTCAAAAACCCTCAAAGTACACACTAGGGAGTAAAACACAGAAAAGACCTCCCCAAAACGCCTCGTTGGAGATTTCTCATTTTCCAATGTTTTCTTCCTGGGTACTCTGACATGGGGATACCCAGAGGCCACACCCTCTGCCAGCCTTTCACGAAACAAAGCTTAACAAACCTTTCAGCGATTCATGCCGGATATGTACAGCGTAGGGCACTGAAGAACGATGCTGTTCCTACTTTGTTTGGACCAGCGGGAGATTCGGGTACACAACCTGTAAGTATTCATTGTTGTTTGTGTATTTATGATGTTTAAAACAAACAAGGTATCTACCATGACTGTTTAAATGCTAACGTTTTTCGGGCTACTACATTGGGATGTGGGAGAAAAGGCGGTTGAGCAGACCCATTCTCACAGCATTATAAACCTTTTTCTTACTCAATATCAAGCCACACTTATTGTTTTTACTTCGGCTGTGAGTGTTTGTGTGTGCTCGGGATGAGTTTCGCTTGTCCTCGCTGTATCGCCGACCAATCAGAGCACACTGGGCTCACAGGGAGGGGGAGGGGGGCAGGAGCTCCAACAAGCCGTTTAGGACAGAGAGTGAATATCAGTGAATACACATACTATACAGAGATGCTGTGAGAAACCAATGTGAGTTTGGAAAATTGCACAGTATAAATCTATTTTAGTAGACCTCAACAATGGAATTATGATCAGTATAAATGGCCATGACATGGGACCTGTAATACCAAATCATGCATAGTACATACTGAATGTTAGAACAAACAACTGTCATTAGTTATAATAAAATATACCACCGACAGCAAGGTTCAATATCCCAGTAATTGGAGAGACAAAGAATCATACAATGTCAACAGTGTAAGAAGGGTGAAGGAGAGACAAACTGTCATCTCAAATTGTTGTTCCCTTTCCTTCACTATTATATCAAGGGGGACAAACAAGTAAATGTTGTTCTTACCCTCTCACCAGGGAAAGCAATTTCTGGGTTGGAAATAGCTGCAATCCTGGCAATGGCGTGGCTGGCCTTTGTCTTCCCAGCCTCTGTCCCTTCCAGAGCAAGTGGTATCAAAGCCTAGGGATATAGTAATAGGTGAACAACAGTGGGATGTTTTGCAACAAGTGAGTTGATCAATTCTCAAAACATGCAAAAATAAATTATTTCATGGTGTCAATTGATAAACCTATGACTCACCTTTCCACCACCTTGGGCTACAATAGTACCACGATCTTTGGGATCATCTGTCAAAGCCAAGAAAACTCTAAGGACGAACAAATATATAGAGTTGGCTTAGTTATCATTTATTACAATATATCTATTTATGGAGGCATCAAGATGGATGTTAACAGTGCTTTCGCTTGCAAGCCAAAGATTCACGAGGGAAGTCTTAAAACAGGTTTAAATATTCTAATTCTGGAAATTGAAAAGAAAAGTGGTTTTAAAGGTCAAAGATGGGTTCGGGTAACTGTAAAACAGGGGGAAATAGGTTGTCTGGGGATGCAAAATGATTGAAAGAGTAGGATAAAAGGGTTAGAAAACTGTCAAAATAACTATCATTTCACGGGAAGACTAGGGGTAGTGGAATGTGAGAATTTGTTAAGGGGTCTTGCAAATATCTGGAACAAACTACCAGAAAACTGCAGGTCCGCTGCAACTCGTACTACTTTAAAATCTAGGCTGAAGACACACACACACACACACACACACACACACACACACACACACACACACACACACACACACACACACACACACACACACACACACACCTTGACAGCATCTCCTTGGTCTGGTCGGTCAGGATGGAGTTGTCTGCCTTTACCATGACAGCAAGAGCTGAAGTGATGCCAGCCTTCAGGAGCCTTTTCACTCTCTGATCAATAAAGTCCTTCTTGTCCTGGGAACAAAAAGTATGCAAAGTGTGTATATCTGTATTCATATGTGTTTCATAACCTGCTCTACACATGTCAAATGATATGTTCTGATCTTCTGTGTAAGACAATGGTTTAGTTGACTTTTCTCCCTCTTTTACCTTGGGGTGTTGCTCCGGCACATGTTGCTTTGAGAACTTTGCTAGTTGAACCAGCTCAGGTAGGATATCCTTCTTGTCATAGCAGTTGGTGCAGTTAACCAGGGTGCAAGCTACTGAATAGATGATTGTCTTGTCTGTAGACTAAAAACACAGTGAATGGAGAGAGGTTA